GATTCTGGCACAATACATGCACCCCAGGTCTCTGTGGTTCACTGCCAGCACCCATGTCCCTTGCCTGGGAAAGGAGCCAGCACTTGGTACTGTGGGAGCTGGGCGCCACACTTTATCTGAGATGAAAGTCTTTGGTCCAGCTGTCTCTGCAGCAGAGCTCAGGAAAAAGGATACATACCCAAGAAAATTTCAGAGAGTAGTTTCTGTTGGAGGAGAGAAAATCTAGAAAGACACAATTCAAGCTAAAGTCCCACTAAGATCCAAGACTGGCCCTTTGTCCACTAATCACATCATAAAATCAAAGAATGGTTTGGGTTGGAAGGGACATTAAAAATCATCAGGCCTCCATCACACATACCTCCACTGCCCTGTAAGGACAGAAGGCTTCTACATTTGTAACACTGTGCATGTGAAGTATTTAAAAAAAAACTTCTGCAAAGAAGACTTTTTATCTTCATCAATGGGTCACTAATACAGACACTTTATAATTTTGATCACACTCCTCTCTTGTACAACTGCTTAAATGGATCGTTTTGCCAAATGCATCTATTTCCTGATATTTTAAGATATGAAAAATATTACATAGGGAATCTTCTCAATTCAGGGATATCACCAAAGAGCATGGATAAATGGTGTTCTGCAAGAATCGTCGATGGCCATCCTAAATTATTTTTGTTTTCAAAAGTAGCTTTGCGTTTTTCTACTTGTGGACCACATAAAAAGACACAACTTCATGAGAAACCATTTCAGATTTTTTTTCCTGTTAAACATGTTTCTTTTTCTAGACCATAAGGGGTCTCCTAAAGGTTAAAGCCTTCATTCTCAGTTTGAGCACCATAACAAACCTGTTCTGTACTGCCTATTCAAATCTGTACAGCCTATTACAGAACACAAAAACATAACTAAGCACAATCTTCAACTACCAGCAACTACAATGTCCTGTTTTATTACTTGTGTTACCTGCTCCTGTACAACTTGTTTTCTTAAAAGATTTGACAGCAATAATTCATGGGTTTTTGAACAGTTGAAATTTAGATACATCTAGAATAGGTAGCTAGTATTAATATTATAGAATAAAATAATAGTAAATCTGCCACCTGAAAAAAAATCCCAGCAATAGATTCTACTACAAGTTGCCCTATAATTCTTAGTTCCCCAAAACCCTTTCATAATACTGAAACAATTTTTAATGACTCATAACCCTTTAAACTGCAAAACACTCGTAGAGCAAGTCTTCCACTTATATACACAATATTCACTTATAGAGAACGAAAAAATTTAATTACCTGTCATTGTCAACTAAGATTAAGCTTTTTTCATAAGTAAAAATTAAGGCTCTAAACCATCAACGTGTAAGAGATGAAAGGGTCACTTGAAATGTAAACACTACTTATACCTGCCACAGGATCGTGTGAGAGTAGTGTAGCTATTAAATCATCTTAACTCTTGAAGCTGCTGCTTGGATTTATGCCACTGAAAACTAGCCTACCAAGATACACATTCTTGACCTCAGATTGTTCCTGGAACAAAACTTCTGTTATATGTGAACTCCTTATCTTTGCTATGCTTGTAACTGGCCTGCTAAGAGTAACAGAATACATCTCTTTTTCCTTAAACTGTTTCTAGTGGATGTATCCTCAAATCAAGACTGAAAATTAACTACACATTAAAAGATAGGTCTTGGTAGTATCAAGCCAAACATCGTAACATAGGTTTAAGAAAATCTTCCTTGAACACCTTCCTTGAACATGGTTCTTAAGAGAAAACACCTTTAACAAGATCACAGAAAATACCTTTGCCATTAATATTCTTGCCTTACTTCCACCTCCTGGCTTACTCTGTTATTACTCTCATTCATTGCATCTCAAAGAGCCTGGCATCAAGTTAAGAACATCAGGTGCTCTTAAAAAGGTTATTTTAAGATGTTATTCCCTCTTCTAGTTCTTCTGTAAACTGACATTTGTTATTTCAAAGTAAGGCCTTACAGCTTCAGTAAAGTGCAGTACCTTTATTTAGTACACACACAGTCTGCCCACAATTGCAATTTACTGTCTCTAACCATTTCTCTTTTACAGGAAAAGTGTTAGGAAGCAAATAGCCTGTGCCTAACCTTTCTAAACTAAACACTGTCACTCCAGATAGGTACCACGCTTTACCAGCCACCATAAATAGAATGCAGAGCTTGAGAAGCCCTAAATCCAAGAACTATTTTTCCTTTTAGCATTTGGCCCTCTTTCCATTAGCATTTCATCACAAAATTTCCAGAAGATATTAATATTCAATACTGACAACAACAAGAAACCTTTGTTTTAGTATCAGTAGCAAAATTATACCTTCTACAGCAGCAAATCTATCAACACACTTTAAAGCAGTTAAATATCACCTGTCCATGCTGGCTCTTAAAGGTTTGGTGCTTCACATCATAGCTGAACTGCATTTACTGCTTGCTGCCTCTCCTTGAAAATATATCAACACACACTTCTGGAAAGGTTCCAAATTCCTAGAACTGCTTTTCAAGTCACCAGAAACACATGCTGAAAGACTGGACTGAAACAGTTTCAGGTCTTAAAACACTTCCAATGCCTAATGCTTTAGTACAGGTCTTCTTAAGCCTACAGGAAAATCTTCACGTCAGAAATGAAAAAGAATACTAGTTGGAGTTGCTTTACTGCTTGCAGCCAACAATTCCATTTCTCCCCTTTTAAGATTTTAATACCACAATTAAAAACAAAACCTCAAAATCCCACATACCTACTTTCATCATAATAGCTCATAAATAATGATCTTGTAAACAGAGTTGTTAAGTTCACATAAGTTTATCCTGAATACCCTGAATTTGAAGAATCTCTGAGAAGATAACTATGAGTCATAAACAACCACACTTACATTCCTTTCTCTTTCATACAGGAAAAGAAAAACTTGTTCTTACTTTGGAACAATTTCCACTGATTAAAGTCAAAATACATACTGTCCCTCCCTTTCGCCATTCTACCAGTAAAAAAAAAATTCTTAAAAATATAGAAGACACTACAAAATACGTGAATAATTCCTACTCGTGTGTGAAAATGTGTGCCTATATCAAGCTTCAGATATTTGATAATCCTATTGGAATACATTTTTCTTGTCAACCTTGTCAGATGATTCTTACTAGTTATTTGTTTAACCTCTGTTTGTGTTGAGACATTTACACTGGGTCACTCCAAAAAGAGTGAGATGTAGTAAAAAGAAAGATAAAGCTGCATGACTAAGAGCAAGGTGAGGACAGAGATCTTGCCTTCTCCTTTTAACTGCTGACTCAATTGCTCATCAGACAGAAGTCTTCATTTTACCTTAATTTATTCTTTGGCTGTGGGTAAGACAAGGGTATTTTCCACAGTCAGTGCTTAAATTGCCTCAAGCAGCCTGAACTCCCCTGCCTTCCCACCCAGTATCTCAGGTAACTACAGTGTTGTACTAGCTGAGGCACTCCTACCAATGTGCTATGAAAGAGACTGAGGAAATTATTTGGCCGCACATTCCCATGTCATTCGTTGTGGTTGAGGCATTACAGCTGCTCAGGCTGCTGCCCAGCACACCACTCCAGCTGGATGCCTGCTTCCCCTTTAACCCCTGCCTGCCTGCAAAACATACACATGCTTTCTCTGGGTCATCTCCCAGAGAAAAGCAAGAGAAGGAAATTAAGGAGGAGACAGCTTAAATCTGCACCGAAGATTTAACTGCAGAAATAGCCAAAGCAGTGGTTTCCCCACCGCTCAACCCCATCTAAACTGGCATTGTCACAGCCTCCAACCACTGCACCTCTCAGCCTTACATTCATACTTCCTTCCTCTGCTCAGCACTGGCACACATCCATCTGCATGGCAAATCAGTTTGGGATGCTCAACAGCTGAGAGCTTTACCATCTTCCATAGTCAGGGCTGTTACATTTTCCACTGGCTTAACATACTTAACCAGGCTTATGGTACGGTCAGACAAAGGAGAGTGTTAGCACAAGACAAAAAAGAGTAGGAGAATGAAGGGATAGAGCAAGAGTATGACTGCAACAGCAACAAACAACTGTAATCATTTTAAACCATCTCTTGGTGGTATAAGAAAAATGTGACAGCAACCTAAATCAACTTCTTTCAGCTATAAACTGCTGCTGTCATGGCTCTCTCCAGCGTTCTGCAGCAGTAAGAGCCAGTACTACTTAGTGAATCTACTGATAGTCTTCTAGCATTCTGCAAATGTTAATTAAGCTTCAGAGCATTCTATATGAAAGACAACTAAGATTTTAACACTGGATCTCTCTAGCTTTTTCCTCTGGATTCATTAATTAGCATCCATGAATCTTCATCTCAATCTAATTCCTCTTCAAATAAGAAAGAAATTGTGTCTTAGATGAAGTATCTAATTTTACATTTTGCTACATGAAACTAAAACAGTGCTATTTTCACTGCTAAATGCAAAATGCTGAGTCAAATAATGAAGACCAACAGGATTCCATAGTGCTGTAACTGACTGCAGATTGTGGTATGGACAGTTTACTATGGAACCAGAAGCACTGTTACCCATCTGTTCAGACTCTCAGTATTTAAAGTGCATGACCATAATCACAAGAATACTTAACTTTCAGAAAACAAAACAAATATCTCCCTCATGACCCCTGTTTCCCGAGTTTTGATTCTGCAGAACTTGACATCACTCATGCTGGAAAATTACTTACCAACAGCAATCAGTTTTTCAAACCTAAATCTCAGAAGCAAGTTTTCCTTGGAAAGCTTCATAAAGAAAATTTTTTTTTAATTTTCTTCTGTGACAGATTTGAACAACAGTGAGTATTTACCAGCATGCACAGAGACCAAAAACACAGGGCAGGTCATCTCTATCTTTCACTAGTTTTATTCGTTAGAATTTCACGATAGCCATAAAATTCTGATTCCTTTTAGCATGGAAAATACATCTTTTATCCCTAGGCAAAAAAAGCATGTTAAACAAACAGAAAACCACCACAAACTTACTCTCTAGTTCTTCCTTCTCAAAATTTGTATTGATAGTAGAGCTGATTTTGCCCATATCTACAACAGCTTCTTCATCGTGACCCTGAAGAAAGAAGACACAAGTTTAAGTTAAAATCAAGTAGAACTAATTTTTTCCTAAATTTCTAAATATGTTCTGAAACAGTATACCAAAGTTTTCTAAACCAGTACATTTTCACCACTTAGAAATTGAGAATGAAAACATCACTGAAAATCTACCCATCCAATTCTTCAAGAAAACATTACCCTATATTGAAGGAAAACGAGAGTAAATCAACAAGACAGGCTAAATACCAGGCAATTTGCTTTTTCAGTGCTCTTGATTTCATCATATAAATGGCTAGGACACACATTTCAGGAGTGCAGTATTCTTTTAGGTTTTTATTCAAAAAGAATCAATCTACTTTAATAAAATAACTGGGAAATTAATAGGAAGTTACATAACTTGACATTCAGAGATCCTGAACTCATCTGCTTAGAGGACAATTCCTGAGATTTTCCAGCACAAATAAGAAGCTTTTGTGAACAAAGGGGTAGCAAAAGGGTTAAGTTACACAACTTGGGGGCCTCTCCTACACTAACAGCTCTGGAAAGATGAAAATAACTGCTTCACTCAGGTTTCAACAGCCAGCTTGTTAACCACATCCCTACCTAATTCACTTTTTTTTTTTAGGTACGAAGTTAAAAAGCAGAAGTTTCAAGAAGACCTGGTCAGATTCCATTACTACTAAGATCACACCACTCATAATGTAAAACCTTAAAACACTGCCTTTTGCTCAGTCTTGACAGAAATTAACTGAGCAGCAGAAATCTCAATCTCATCTCAGACCTGACATGAAAAATAACATTAAACTTGCCTTTCTGCATGTGTTTGCATTCCTTAGAATACAGTCCACTTTTAACAGCTCACAAATTACAGCCTCCTGACAGAACTGGTTCTCCAAAAGACCCACAGCCTAAGGGTAGTGCTTTACATCCAAGTATAAGGGCACACTAACTGCTAAAGATTACTGTCCCTGCTCTTTCTGCTCCCTTGGGCACATGCTTTTTTCCTTAAACCAGACCTAACAATCATGGCATCAGATAAAAAGCGCTTAAGCAATGGATTTTATGTTTTTAACTGTTTTAATAACAACTTAATTAGTTTTCCACTGGATCAGTTCACTAAAGTGACTTTTCCTGAGGAAAAAAACAGAAGCCTAAATCCAGAGTCTTACAGGGACTGAGAACCCTAACATTGTTGACACTCACCTAAACTTTGGTCTTAGAATTATGCAATTGCTTTATATATAGAACAAGTTTGTCATCTCACAGGAAAGTGACAAGGATGAAAAACAACATACCTGTTTAACAGGTTCAAGCTAAAACAAACCGTAGCAGGTCCCACCCCCAGAGAAAGCTGGTTTTGGACATGTAGCTCCTCAGTCTTAATAAAAAAGATATTTACTACAGTGTATTGTGCACACATACAAACACACACCAAAATAAATCTAAATCTTAGTTTGCCTATTGGGGAAAGGAGATTAAAGAATATGAAGATGACAAACACCACATACTGGGAACAAAAAAGTCAGATGAGGTTTAAAAAAAGGTTAAAGACAGCTAGACCGCAAAAAAAAAAAAAACCAACAGCAGTTGGCACTATGTAAATAAGCAAGAATACAAGAGAAAAAAAAAAGAGTGGCACATGGCAGAACAAGTCTCTGAAAACTAAATAAAGGTTGACTCTGAGTTGTGTCCCTAAAAATAGGGTTTTCAAGGAAGGCATTATACCATAACCTAAACTTTGTCATTACTGCTGCATTGCAAAAGTAGTTTTTCATGTAGGGTAGAAAAATCAAAATTCCTGCACACTTCACACAGCTACAATTAAAAAAATTGGTGTGATTAAACCAAAGTCACGTCTGTTGGACAAATCTGTGAAAATGTTACAAGGACCTATTAATGAAGAATTGGCAGAAATCTGAAAAGTGTCATGGTAAGATAATGGGAGAGTGATGGAGGGTGGGGGAATAGTATTTCCTGTCTCCTACACAACAAAATCAAATATATTGTAATACACTCCAGTTCACAGAAACAGATACACACAGTAATCTTGAACATTACCATTAAACTCCCAATAGAGATGGATATAGATGGAAGAATCACAAATCCTCTAAACTATCTCATTTTATCACATGTGAGAGAAAAAAAAAAACCCAAAACTAATAATAGGAAAATTGCTATCAAAACCTGTTCCATAATTACCTTCATTGATATAGCCACAGACTGCAAAAAAAAATCCTGTATCTAAATACACCCATCCTCAACAGTCCTTTTAGGACCCTTGAAATCTGGCCAAACACAGAGTTTTTGAGCAATAAAGGAAGACAAAGTTTTTCTCCAGATTATACAAACTACTGCATACCAATAGAAAACTACATACACACTGCAGAAAATACACACACAAGAAAAGATTTTTATCTCCCAATAACATTTTGAGACAGTATTTGCTGTATGCCCTACATCATATTATGAATATTTATCATCCTTTGTTTTAGTAAAAGAGGTTCTTTGCCAAACTCAAACATATAGAAGCAGCCTTCAAAAACCACATAATGTGTAAAGTAATATGCCTTTTAAGATTAGATTACAGGAAGGCATGTGTGCCCTTGCAAACGGTTCTATCACTATGTCAAAGTACTCAACATATGCAAAGACTCTTCCAAGAATAAACCATCAACAACCACAAATATTATACATGAAGAAAGCATATAATTTACAGCCTTTGTTCAGGAAAACACAAAGCATCATTTTAACTTATCTGTTTGCAATGCCGAGAGCAAATCCCAGTATGAGATACTTTTGCCTTAGGTCAGGTAAAAAAAAACCAAAAATATTCAAATACGTTACAAAAGTAATTCCAAACTACAACCTTCTCCTGGTTAAAAATAAAGTCTCTAGGGCACACGTTTCCAGTAATTCTAGATCTATCATGTCAGTTGAAGGCACAAAAGCGAGGGAAAACTATTACAGCTGCCATTTTAGTTCTCTCTTCTACTTTCTGAACTTTTTACATACATAAACAAAGAGCAGTGGGATTGTTGAGAACTTGTCAACTTCCCTTTTTTAGGCACAGAGAACGACTTGAGCTTAAAGCAAGCATTCCTCTGCAGTTTACCAGCCACTTTATGTGAAACTTTACATGCAATAATCCCACAGATGCCCAAATACAGCTGCTGAAGATGAGCCAAAGTAAAATTCAAGACTTAGAATGTATGTAACTTTCACTTCCAGTCAAGAGACAGAACAACTGAGAAGAGAAAAAACCCAACAGAAGTAGCAACTAAGGTACCCCAGAGCAAGATTAAGTCTTCACATTTGGTTTGTCTTTTTTCTTTTTTTAAGGAGATAGTAATTTATAAAAACAGAACAAATCCAGCATACTTCAAATTGGGGGGGGGGGGGGAAGTAAAAGCCTAGTACATTGTATTAAGATACACTACGTATACTTACTTTTTCCTAACACAAACATACTGTAGAAACAACCCTCCAGTAAAACCTTCATATTCAGCCAGAGGTGCCTACATACACTAGAACCTGTCTTCTCAGCTTTCTAACTCTCACCAGCATGAAAATGAAATCCCTTTTCAACTGCTGCAGATCAGATCAACACTCTGTGTTCTACCAGACTTCCAGTAGAATTCCTCTTGCCACCTCTGACTTTTGAATGTTTTTTCTCAGTCCAGGAGGAAAGAGTAATTCCCCTTTGCAGACAAATGAGCACCCAGAAATTCACTTCAAGTGTTAGAAATTAACACTTCACCTTGTCAAACATCTGTCATCATTTAGTACAGTACACTTTTTATATCTACAATATTAGTGCTACATCTTTTTTAAAAGTACTGTTGAAAAAAAGAGTCAATCCTAAATTGCATGAACCCTGAAGAAAAGTTCCTAAAGTTTGGAAGAACTGACAACCTCCAGCAGTGTTAGCTACCACACAGTGGACTAGCACAAACATGACGCACAGAGTATTAAATCCAAAGGCAAGTTTCCACGGTCATCTGTACAAGCTCTTCTCACCATGCAACTCACTTAACCTTATGCAGTCACACACACGACAGGCTTCAGACAGGCACGCTGCCAAAGTGCATCACTGAATAACAACTTCCAAGACAGACAACTTGCTAGCAGCACATTTTTAAGGTACCTGAAATACAGTTCAGTCAATTCATTTCTGGTGTTAGACAGTGATCATAAATGGCTGACACAGCTAACCGTAAACCTTTGAAATCTACAAGCCATTCAGTAATTGTTTTGAGAATAATTTGAGCTCAACATTTAAGAACATCACTTAACTAAGCCAATGTTCATGTGCTCCATTAACACTCTCTCAGATCAAAGTTCTTCCCCAGCAGAATTACTGAGAGACCTGCAGCACCAGAAGAGACAGCACTAGCGCTCATGGAAATAAGTAAGTAGGCCGTGGGAGAGGGCAAAAACAAACAAAAAAACCCCACATCCACCATCATCCCTCCTCTCTCACCCCCAGAAAAAAATTACACTACCACTTTCATGCTACAAAGAAGCTTCGCTGCAGCATTTATTGAAGTAGGTGCAAATGAAGAAAAAAAAAAACTAAGAAAAAAAAACCCCAAAACCAACCAATTAAAAAAACAACTAACCCCAACTCAGGGCAGGGTAGAGAGGGGATGTATTCATATCTACTTTTTTCCCATATACATCTGTCCTTGACCAAGAGTGTAGTAGTTCTTATTTTAATAATATTCTAATACAACTGCATACACCATCACAGTGAACCTACATACTGTTTTATGACTGTAACTATAACCCAACCTCTCTGGCTTGAAGAGAAAGCAAGTAATTTCCCCTCTCCTTCCCACAAGAACCCATGGATACATCTTTGCTTTTGTAGAGACACCAGATCTGGCAGACAGGATTTAGCTCTTAGGCTGGAATGTGGCACCAACAAGCCGTTCCCCCCAAAGCAGGAGCACACACTGCTTACAGACCCAACTGGCAAATCTCTATAAGCATGCTACTGTAGATTTACCAACTAAG